CCTGGGCCGGTTGGAACCCGCCAGCCCCCGTTTATGTGGCCGGCGCCCTAACCACTGAGCTACGGAGGCCAAGCCTGTCTCTACTTTTTCAAGTCATCCCTTGTGTCACTCACTTTTACTATTCTCCGTACAGCTCTCACAACTCGCTTGCAGGTTATGTCTATGTATTGTACGTTTTGGGTGCTAGAGTGTATACAGGATTGCTTTTAACTCTTGCACCTGGTATTTGGGACAGCAACATACAAACAGTTTTGTCAACATTTATTAGCATGTTTCCCATTGACTGCTCTGTGCAAGTGTGTGTGCGGGCACACGCACCTGTGTGCCTTATGTGGACACTCACATGTTCACTACTTAGTGGTGGAGGTATTTGTAGCTGTGTTGTTTACTTAGGATGTTCTTATAGGACATGTTTTAAGATTCATTAATATTGCCTACTTCATTGCTTTCGTTAACCAAACGATGTTGAATATTTTGTTCAGTTTTGTTTTAGAAACTGTCTCTGGGAAGAAGGGTGGGAGACAGGAATGAGAGAGACATCTGTGCAGTGTATGCCCCCTTTAACCTTTAGAAATACCTACCTTGTGCAGGTATTAAGTATATAGAAATTAGCATATAATTTTTGAAAGGAAATGTTGTGTGCTGGTTTATTATATAAAGCACAGCTTAGCTGTGGGAAGGCTTGGTTCTTGAAAGTGGTTGGTCTCAGATTATGTGAGAAGGTGGTGGTGTCTCTGGCTTCTGTAGTCCAGGGAAAATTTGTCTAGGGTCCCCTACACTTTTGATGAGGGCAATTAGCACAGTGCTTACACATTCTGCCTCTGGGAACACACTACCTGTGTTTGAATCCAGGGTCTGCTACATACTGGCTACATAACTTGTATGGAGTTGCTTAAACTCTATTCCTCAAATTCATCTTCTGTCAGTCATGTTAACGACTAAGACAGTTTTTGTGTTCGGGGTAAAGATAGTGCCTTGGGCAGACTACCTTATCAATGAATGCCTATTTTCTCCTTTCTTCTGTTTTGAGGTCCCCAAATCCCCTCCTGTCAAGTCATCCAGAAAACACTAAACTCTATCGCTTAGGGACAGATATATGGCAGGACAGATCCTGAGAAAATGCAACAAAATAATCTAAGTTTAAGCAAGGATCAGTTAGGGTTTAATGCTACACAGGAGGGATGGTGGCTTTGTGACTTGAGTGAGGAGCGTGTCCTATGTACGTAGTAACTGTTACCCTTGCTGTATAACAAACCACACAAAACTTAGTCCATAAAATGGTAGGCATTTTATCGTATGCATAAGCATTTCAATGTCAGGAGCTCAGAAAGGACAGAGTGGGTATGACCTGTTTCGCATGAGTCTGTGACCTCAGCTGCAAAAGCCTGACAGGCTGGGGGCCTGAACCATCTGAAAGCTCATTCACTGACATGCATGGTACTTGCATTGAGAGGACTGGAAGACTAGGATGGCAAGTACAGGGCCTGCCTGCTACCTCTCCATGGACGTAGGTTTCCTCACAGCATGGCAGTCCTCACAGTACTCAGGTTGCATACTTGGTGAGTCAGGTTCCAAGCAAGACTGTTTCGGTAAAGGAGATACTCAGAAGTCATGAGGAGTCACTTGTGTCATACTCTATTGATTAGAAGAAGTGAGTCACAAACTCTTTCAGGTTCAAGCAGGGTGATTAAGCTGCACTCATGGTGGTAGAGGTGGCAGCTTTTTATAACAGCACAGGAGGCAGGAGATAACTCTTGTGGCCATCTTTGGAAAATTCATTCTGTGGCACGATGGGCTCCTACAGTGCTGGCCATGTTTCATTCCGTTCCCCTATATGGTGGCCTATTTAGATGTTTACCCTGGAACTGTTCAAATGTTCATACATAGTTCGTGTACAGTTGCATATGATTTAAGCCATAATCTTACAAAATGGGTGATTCTCACTCCTATCTCTGAGCAAGACTCAGAGCAGACTAAATGTATGGCTTGAGGTACAGTGGATAAGACAGCCAGAAAGAGGCTGGCCAGTTGGTCCTGCAGCAAACCTTGACAATGCCCACCCAAGCACGGCCCAGGGTAGTGGAAGTTGTATCCAGGAGGCCCTGGAAGAGTTTAAGCTATTGCTATTGCTAATTTGATATGTTGGACTGCCTTAGCATGGTGCTGCTGACCACCCCTTCCTCTATCCATTCTTATGTCTTCGTTCATTCATTCCACAAATATTTACTGAGTGTTTATCATGGGCCAAATAGAATGTGAGAAGGGCTTGACTCTTCTGGAATGCCATAGGAAAGGGAATTAAAATATCCCTCTCTTCAGTAGATTAGAAGAGCACACTTGGCATCTGACACACAAAGGCCACTCCCATGCTGGCTATCCACGCGTCGTCTATAGGATGAACTCCAGACTAGAAGGGGAATTTGTTTTCTGACAAGTGCTTTCTGAAAGGGTTAAATAAGAAACCTTTGTGGTATCTGCCATATTGACATCCTGTGATACCTCTTCTTTCTTCACATTTCCACAAAGATCACAAGACTTTTTACTGAAATATGCTAAACAGAAATATTCATATCATGGAAGTAAATGGAAAACAGTATCTATAGTCTAAAAACATAACTATAACATAAACATCTATAGCCTAAAAACATATAATGAAAACGTTTTATGATTATACAACATTTTTTGATGAAACATTTGAAAATGAAAAAGGAGAAAGTGATCAAAGGCCCTCACTCTAACAATACTTCATTGTGTTACCTTACTTAATGTTCACTAAAACATTCCAGGGCACGTATTATTGCTATTCTCGATTTGTGGATGAAGAAACTGAGACTCGGATAATGGGAGGACCATGCCCATGGATGCAAAGCTGGAGGGTGTCAGAGAGAAGGTAGAGGGTGGCGGAGAGAACGTAGAGAGCCAGGGTTACCGGATACCACCGTCAGTAACCACTGGAGACAGAGGTTCTCATATACTTCCACTCCCCTGATTGTGGTCCCTTTCTCCTTTGTTGTGGATCCATTTCCCGAAGCATTTCGCCCTATGACCTCTTCACACTCACAGTAGCTTTTCCTCCCAGAAACCTCTCCCGAGATCCTGTGGCCTGCTGTTCAGTGTATTCATCCCTGACTCTACCCTCTTTAAAAATCTGAAATGATATTAGGTTAGATGTTCTGCCGTTTTGTGACCACACCCCCAAATATTGTCTTTCTGTGTGCCAATGTAACAGAGACAACTCTGTGACCACGAACGATATGATCTGCACATCACAGTTTGGGAAACACTTATTTTGAGGAAGAGGCTTTCAAGGGATTTCCACCTGGGCTCGTTTCCTAACTCTGAATTGGTAACAGGTTTATAAACTTGCACTCATCTTCTCTGTGAGGCTTAAATCAGGCAGTGCATGCACAGAGATAATGGAGCCCCGCCTGACGTAAGCACTTTGTGCATGCGAGCTCTTTGTGCTTTTCCTGTTGTTAGGGCAAAAATTCAAATGCGGCTTTTGTCTCCACTGTACACAGCTGTGTACAGTGTAGGCAGTACTTTCAGAAGCACTATCTCAGGAACTGTCATCTGCATTTCCTTGACACTGAATCTGAGTGTAAAAGTAATTCAGCTACAAAAAGTTAGGAGGGGGAAGCCCATAGCCCATAGGCCTTCTGGTTCCTTACTGAGTTCTCACTTGCCTGGACCCTGCTGTTTCCCATTCTATTGCGTGAGATATGGAGATAGCCTTTTCCATTCCATACAGGGTGACTGGGGCATTGGTAAGCAAAGTACCGGGTCTGTGGGAGCACACAGAAGGGGCATCCTTTATCAGACGAGTCAAGAAACCCTTTAGGGCCTCGGTTTCCGTATTTGCACAATGGTTCTAGAACTGCATGATCTCCCAACTCTTTGAGCATTTGAAGCGAAGTGATGGAAGAAGAATAGAGTTCCATGCCCTGAATACATGTGAAATGGTCAGCAACAGCCACCTATCGTTACTTTTGTAAATTATGTTATTATACCCAGATATTTTGGCCAAAAGTAACTGGAATCGCTAGATCCTATGGCTTGTTGTTGAGGCTCAGAAGTGAACAAATCAGTGAGTTACCCCAATACCCGGCTCCTCTCCCATCATGACCCGAGGAACAAGGTTTTTCTCTGAAGGACACAAGTTTAGAGATTGCACAGCAACTTCTGAGTCTTGACTCTGAGACACTATCATAGTTTCCATGCCCTCCCCAGTACAGGAACCATAAGGAGGAGCAAGGGGGAGGTGTGAGGTTGGTGGGGTTGATGCCATTACTGTCTCTCACATGTAATAAGAGACTTTAAGTGAGAGAGGCTGTCCTCATGGGTCAGGCTGTCGAAGTTGTAGGCAACAGTCACTTTGTGCCCACGAGTGGACATTAGCGGAACTGGCAACAGACTGGATGACCTGAAGGTACCTTTAGAGGAGAGAGCTCAGGGTCTCTGAGATAAACCCTCATTATCCGGAGGTGGCAGATTCCTGCCTCTGGAAGGCCCAGGGAGCTGACTTACCTCTCCCTGCAGCAAGCTGATGCAGTCATGAGGCTCAGTGTGTTTACTTCTCGTCTCTCACAGATTACTCTCTTTCTGTCCAATATCTTGGAAATCATTGTTGTCTATGTTTTTGTAGCTTCAGGGGGGAAGGGTAAATGTGGTACCTTTTCCTCTATCATACTGAGCATCAGACAGATGACTCAGATTCTCATCTGTACAGTTAGTGCGTCAGGCATCACAACTGGGCACAAAAGGAAAAGAGCGACTGTCTTACCTGACTATCTTTTGAATTTTAGGAAATTTTTTGTTCTTGAAACACTGTTCCAGATTCTGTTTCCTGTTTTCTTTTTCTCAGCCTGAATACGACCTTGCTAAAAAGGGGTAGTAAAGTGCGACACCTGTGGCTCAAAGGAGTAGGGCGCCAGCTCCATATGCTGGAGGTGGTGGGTTCAAACCCAGCCCCAGCCAAAAACTGCAAAAAGAAAGGGGGGGGGCTCGCTTCCGCAGCACATATACTAAAATTGGAACAATACAGAGAAGATTAGCATGGCCCGTGCTGAAGGATGACATGCAAATTTGTCAGCGTTCCATATTTTTGACTGCAAAAAACGAGGGGGTATTAAAAATTGTGTTCCAGGAGATTCTGTTTCTCAGTATGATGGAGGAAAAAGTACCACGTTTATCCTTTCCCCTAAAGTTAGAGAAGAATATATACAACAATTTTTCTAAGATATTGAACATAAATCAATGAAAGACAGTAATCTGTGAGAGATAAGAAATAAAGACATTTAGCCAC